AAATATAGCGTTTGGATTGGTTGAGTGGGTCCAATATTTGTCGTCAGATGTGACGTGTCCTATGCAGTTGGCTTTTGAAGGGGCGTTGAGACCCTGAGATATTTTGTGTTGGATATTTTAGCCCTTGAACTTTATATTTGATGCTAATTTAATTTTTTTTAATCAGCTCGTCCGACTTAGCTCGTTGAATAGGTTCTTTGAGGTAAAAGGAAAACACTAGATAAGAAAATCTTACCTATCTACGCAAAGATTATCTTACATGATTATAATATTGAAGATTTTCAGAAGAAAGTATGAAGGTTTGGCTAAAAGTCTTGGAGGAGCTTGTAAAAGGAAATTGAGAAAAGTTAAGAAGAGCAACAAGGTTTGGGAAATAGAGTGGTGATAATTGTAAAATATAGAAACGCTTTGTTGAAAAAAAAAACAAGACATATTTTTTTATATTAAAGTTATGTTTGAGCCATATTTTTTTCAAAAAAATATATTCTTAAATAGTGTTTTGATATCATTTCAACCACACATTCTTCAATAAATTAATATTACACGTAAATTCAAAATTTTTCTTTATTTTTTAATCACATATTTTTCATCAATATACTATTCAAAAATACATTTTAAAAAATATAATGTGGCTCAAACAAGGGCTAATTGTCTACAAAATAAAAATTAATATAAAGCAGAATACATTCAACTTTAAATAAACTAAAACGACACAAAAACTGTGATGCTTCCCAACAAGATGTTCTCTTTTTTTTAAGAGAATTGATTGGCTTTGCATTGCTTCATGAACTTCGATTTGACGATTTTTCAAAACCGTCTAATTAAATCGATATCCACCCAAACGTTTAAAAGAGAAATTAAGAATTCTATCATTTCGATTGGAATTTCACCTCTATTGACTTTTAATACTAGCACAAAAAATCACTAATATCACCAAGAAAATATTACAATAAGCACTCGTGTAGGTGAAGTTGACTTTTGAGAAATGATTTTATGAAATGTGATTTTTTTTGTTAGAATATATGATTTATCAATTATAGACCATGCAAACTAGTACTACTTTTGGCTTATTAGTAATTCATAATCAACTTTCTTTCGTAGTACTCTACTTTCAAGAGAATTCGAATTCTCGTTGCTTCATGTTCTAAAAAGTAGAGAAATTTTAATAAAAAAGTTAAAAACAATTTTTTAAAGGATGTATAATAGAATTTGAGCATGACATAAAATGATTCTGAAAAAATAGCTTTCAAAAATAATTTTTAAGATATTTTCCAAGTTTACAAGGTGGTTAATTTCCAATAAAATGTGAGGAACACAATTTCCTCCTCCCCGTGTTTTCTACATTTTTCTCCTTAAAAAAAAATAATAATAAAAAAAATAAAATCGCTATTGAATTTCAATTGGACCTTGCTATATGTATATCAAATCTTATATAATGAGTTATATAATGTCACATGTCAGTTTATCATTTGTTAGTTTAAAATACTGTCAACTTTTTTATCCAAATTTTCTCTTCACATCATTTTATGACATCCCTTATATACCATTTTTATATACAAGTAGGATAATCTATTTTAATATGGACGACACTTCTTTTACAGAGAAGATACTACACTTTCCATCTCATACGCTACGCAATAAACATCTGTTGCCAAACAACTACGTAATCTTTCTCACACACACATATACATTGAACATGAATTTTTCATCAAGCATTTATATGGATCAACAAACAGTTGTTCCATGTTCAGCCATAATCTTCATCATCGATAATTGAAGTTTGCTTTGTGCCTTCGTACCCTATACCCTTCTTCTCTCTAGCAAGCCATTTGCTTCAATTTCACTTAACCTCGATGACGGCAGGCAGTGGTTCCCTCTTTTTCCATCTTGACAATGCCAATTCTCCGCCTGTAAGTTTTCGTCGTTTTTCTATAGCACTCCATATTTGTACGAGCGTTTTAAATTGAGTATCCGTTTTCCTCCATTTTTTGCCAGGATTGGAAATTTTATATTTTACACATCTATACGATTGAGTCCTTGAATTTCCAAAATAGTGTAAAAAGAAGTGTTACCTGTAAGTTTTCATCGTTTCTCTATAGCACTCCATAATCGTATGAGCTTTTTGAAGTGAGTATCAATTTTCCTCCCTTTCCTGCTAGGATTGGAAATCCTATTTTTTAATATCCAAATTTGATCCGAACTTCTTCCTATTTCTAAAAAAAAAATAGACGAGAAGTTGTGTTTTCAGTGATGGACGAGTGAGTAACGAGTAAGAATTTGCCATTGGGAGGGGAACAACAGCTGGAAACAACTGTTAATACCCCCATAGGCTGAGGAGCAGAAGGAGAAATTCACATCGATGAGGGGCTTGCGTCTGATTAGCTAGTTGGTGAGGCAATAATTGTTGGAAAAATACTGAGTGAGCGGCTCATTTTTGGCATAATTTTCGATGGGACCCGTTGGTCCAATGTGGAATATCAAAGTTGATATGTGTTCTCCTTCGCGAGAACATCGATTTCATGTATTTATTTGCCAAAAATGAAACTCGGGTGAATGAGAAATTGAAGCTCAAAGTTGGTCATTGAAAGTTGATTTTGTGGGAAAAAATACATTTATCCCACATATGAAAACTAAGGAAACTCAAACCACTTTATATATAACTATGCTTTGGAGATGTGTAAGCATGTGTAGCATAGAGGCTCTCTCCACGTGCGCGCGCAGGGGGTGCAAATCATGAACCGAAATGGCCTTCGGAACTTGAACTTGAACTTGAACTTGCCAATTTTTTTTTTGGCCTTCTCCAATGACTTTTGAGTTTCTAAACTGAAAAAACTCCAATGAACTCCCAATGGTCACAGTGTTAATGGGAAGTAACTCCAATGAACTCCCAATTGTCACAATATTAACGGGCAATATGCCTATAAAAAGGTTCATTCTCTAACAATCTAACACACTCGAAAATCTCACCTACATTCCTACATACAAAGTTTCTTCTTTTCTGCATTCCTTGTCCAGTAAGGTCTTGTTCTTGTTGTGATATTGTTTGGATACTAGATCAGTTTGTCGGAGTAGAACCGCGGTGCTCGGATTCTGCTTATTACCGTTGTATCTTGAGAGATAGCCGCTCGAACTGAACCTCTAGCACTTACGGTGAGGGGGCGAATCTGTCTTAAGGAAACTGTGCACGCACAGGCCTCAGTTTGAAATTTGCTGCAGTTTGTGTTTTCTTTCTGCAGATTTATTTCGTTGCAGTTCGTGTAGTTTCTTTGCAGATTCAGTTTATCCTTGCAGTTTCAGTTTCCATTTATTTCTGCAGATTATTTTCGCATCAGTTTCTATTTCTTTCTACAGATTATTTTCGTATTACTATTTAATTCATGCAGTTAGTAGTTTCATAGTGTGTAGCTTCCAGATTCATCGTTTACAGTTTTAGCCTGCAGTTAACTTATATTTCTGATTTTGTGTTGCTGAACATTTTTTTTTCAGCCGTTGGAAGATTTTGAAACGAAATTTTTTTGATAAATTGAAATC